CTTCTGGGACATCTATAATACAAATGTTATTATGTTTGATGGAATCACTGCATTCCCTAAGTCTATTCTTGTGTTGCATAATTCTTCTTTCTCTCTTTTGTTCAGCTTCATTATTTTCCATTATTTTTCTTCTACATCACTTATTTGTTCATCTGCTTCTTCCAGCCTACTGTTCATTGCATCAAGCCTGTTTCCAATCTCTTTTATTGCATTCTTCATCTCTGGGTTATTCTTTTTTAACTCTTTTATCTCTGTGGTAAGGGTCTCACTGACGTCTTCTATTCTTTTTTCAAGCCCAGTGAGTATCCTTATGGTTGTTGCCTTAAATTATCCATCAAACATGCTACTTATATCTGTTTTGTTTAGATCTCTGGCCATGGACTTATTTTGTTCTTTCATTTGGGATAAATTCTTCTATCTTGGCATTTTGTCTAAGTTTCTGCCTTCCACTGTGTGTTAGAAAAGCCAGTTATATCTCCTGCTCCTAAAAGTAATGGCCATATAAAGAAAAGGTTAAGTAGTGTCCAGGGCCTGGTGCTTCAGGGAGTGTCTCCAGTATGTGCCAAATGCACTCTGCTATTGTGTTCTGGCTGCTCTGTCTTTCAGGTCAGTTATCTGCAGAAGCTCTCTATGCCTGCTATGGGCAGTGTTTGGTCTCTGGCCTGATTGTGGTGAGTTTTCACTAGGTGTGCTTTGGTCTGCTTATGAACTGAGACCTGACATAAACTCCACCAGAACTTTGGCCCTGCAGAACTCTCTGGTTGGGATACGTGGTGTGGGCAGAGGTTTGTGCTGGTTTTCTGGGGGAGGGGCCTGCTGTACTGGGACTGAAGCGAGCTTGACTGAGAAGGGCAGTCCCACCAGAATGCAGGGAGGTAGGGCTTGGTGTAAGCAAGTTAGGCAGCCAGTGTTGGTGCTATTCTCCTTCCTGCAGGTGGCTCGGTGTTCATGCTGAGGGGTGGGGAAGGGAAATGGTGTCAGCTATATGTGCCCAGAGTGGTATCTCCATGAACATTGCCTCTCAAGGACACACTCTGAGAAGAGCAAATATTCTCCTCTCTGTGTGCCCCAGGCCTTCCCCCAGATCATCATTTCCATGTTGTCTGCCACTGGGTTGTTTGCCTGCCCTCTCCCTAGAAGCAGTGCAGTGCCCTCTGGGCTCTATCCCAGCCAAGCCCACTGACCTTTAAAACTCCAGGCTTTAAATCTTGCAAGAGCTCACAAAATTCAGTCCCTCTTGTTTTCCAAGCCAATGGCTTTGGGGAAATGTTCTCCTTGTGCATTCCCCTGTGCGCTCCTCTCTTTCTCACCCTTCTCCTCGACCATGGCTCTCTCCCATCCATAGCACCCATGACCCGTTTATCCCCTAAACCACATCTTTGCACTTCCTGCCCTCTTCAATGTGGCCTCTTCTCTCCTGTTAGTTGTGGAGTTTGGTCTGTCAGTCTGCAGGTCGATTTCTGGGGTCTTTAGGATAATTTGATAATTATCTAGGGTTTGTGGGATGAGATGAGCCTAGGGTTTTCCTACTCTACCACCATCTTCCTCTCCTCACTCTTTGACCATTCTGAGTTTTACATTTGTCTCTGATAAAATGGATTCAGTATAAGGATACCATGAGCACATGTGAAAGCACTTAGACTAGAGCTGGTGGGCGTTCCATAGTATTCATCCACCTGCCTCTTCCTTGCCATGTAAGTGCTTTCCTAAGAAGAGCTGAAAAAGTTTGGTGTGTTGATCCTGAGAGTTTTCTGACAGATGGATGTCACAAGCATCTCTGGGTCTTAGTTTCTTGACTGCAAAGAAGTGAGGGGATTGCCCTGCATTGTTGGACTGTAACTGAAGGTCTTTTTTTTTTTACTTTAAAATATTAGGGTTTAAGGAATTGAAGGAAACAAGTTTGGATGAGAAGGTGAGGAAGGGGTTTCTCAGTAAAGGCACAGTGTATATGAAAATATCTAGAGAGAAGCACAAAGATGGGGGGCCTGGTGATTGTCGTGGAAATGGAGAAATGCCTGGTGAGGAATGCACAATAGAAAAGTATCAAGGGGGTAGAGGAGACAAAAGTCCAAACAGCTGAAAGGCAATTGTGCTGAACCAGGCTATTTAGCTACTGCTTTTTTTTTTTCCCCTCCTAGGAAAGACTGAATAAGCATTGACATGGAGAGAGCTGAGTGAATGGACAGCCAGGGTACAAGCCTTCTCACCGATTTTCCTATGATTTAAAATAGACACACTATTTTAGGCATAGCAGACTGACTCTGTCTAGAAATGCAAATGAAGATTTGTTTCCTTTTCTGAATTGAAGATACAGTTGGAAATTTCCCAGGTTAATGTTAGGAACCAGGTGTGGTGGTAGGAGGTCAGTGGAGAGCCACAGGTAAGTAATGTCTATGGATTTGGTCACCTTTGCCTCCTGTTTTTCGGGATCTCTGGTTTCTGATCCAATTTTTTAAAAATTTATTTTAATTAATTAATTACCAATTAATTAATTTTTAAAGATTTTATTTATTTATTTGACAGAGAGAGAGAGAGTACAAACAGGGGGAGTGGCAGGCAGAGGGAGAGGGAGAAGCAGGCTCCCTGCTGAGCAGAAAGCCTGACTGGGGCTCAATCCCAGGGTCCTGGGATCATGACCTGAGCTGAAGGCAGACGCTTAACCTACTGACCCACCCAGGCGTCCCCTGATCCAAATTTTTATGATACCAGATTAGGAAACTCCTAATATATGCAAACTTTTGTTTAAGGTATCTAAATAGTGATTCATTCTTTTATTCATCTATTAAATGTTTGCAAATGTCCTAGGTAATGGGCTAAGAGTTGGGAATACAATCATGCATGAGATGTCAACTTTCACCTCAAGAAATCCAGAGTCTGAGGGCTGACAGGCTTATACATGTACATGTTCCTAAGACACTGTGGGAAGTGCTGTCATACAACTGTATTCAAAATCTGAAGGGCACTTAAGAAGCATTACTAAAGCTGTTAGCTGTTGCTCAACAATGCCTCACTGAAGACAATAACTATGTATTTTGAAGGTGATCTATATATCTGGGTGCTGCAAAGTCAATAAACATGAAAATAAAGGAAGAAGGGAAAGGATAGGACACAAATAATTCTGAAGCATCTGCTTAAGTGCCTGACACGACCTGAGTAAATTTATGGAAATTATGTCACTTCATTCTCACAAACACTCTGGGTCCCAAGTTATATTATATTCATTTTACAGGTGAAAACACTTTACAGACTTGAGAAAAAGTAGTTTCCCCAAAGTTCCTTAGTGAGCTGGAAGCAGAAGAAGGATTTCAATATACGTCCATAGTCCTTCCACCACATTGTGTGGTTACAACTCAATGAGACAAATAAAGGCTTGGGTGAAAGAGGAAGTGGGAACACTTGGTTTTGCTGCCTCTGTGAAAATGAGTATGTGACTCAGAGATTTCAGACAGTGGGACCTAGTGGTTTGGGTTGTCAAAGTCCGTAAATATGTCAGTTACTGAATTCAGGATGCTAATTCAACAACAGAAACTTGCTGTCAACCAGAAACTGGGATAAACTCTGTTCTGAGTTTGTATATAGACATGCAAGGGTAGATATGGAAGGCTCTCTGGTTGATTTTCACAGGAAACCAAGTACAGTTGAATCTCATTTATTTGGAAATTACATTATAAACTCCTATATCTAGCACTCTTCAAAGAATCAGCAAATCAGTAAAACTCTATGAATGCTCAAATGGATATCATAAACAATAAATAATAAATCTCATGCATTGTGCTTTTTATTCCATTCAAGATGTCCTCAAGCCGTCAATCTATTCATGATTGCATATCTGGTTTCAAATCTAGTTGGAGGATAAAAGTAATGTCTGTCAAGAAAGGATTAGACAAAAATGGAAAAAGCAGCTTCAATTCTCAGCATCAGTTCTAATATAAGGGTCAAAGACCCCGTGTGGATCCTGGAAATTACCCTTGTAATGTGCCCATGCAAGAAAGTGGATTTTTTCAGTGTTGACCCAGAGTCATCAGTATAAGATTAAACTAATTTCAGGCTACTTTTCTACGTATGTAGGGGGTATATAGTACATTAATAATACAGTCAGTCATCTAAGATAACTAACATGAAAACGGTGCCATTGCTTGAAAGGATAAGTCAGCCATCTGGAAATCTTATTAATTATACAAAGTGATGTATCCTCAGAAGATTTTAGATAATCTGGTGCCTTATTTATTTATGAAATCCAACTTCCAACTACACCTTTCATTGGAATGGGGCAAGGGGCCCAGGGGTAATATCCTCCTGTTGGCCCAGAGGAGAGAGGGAAGAAATTCCACCATCCAGGGATCCACCATGCCTCCTCACTCTGGCTTCATGCTTGAATTGCGTTGTCCTGGGGTGGGGGAATCTCCCTAATGGGTCCATATTCTCTCTCCTAATCTTAGATCCACAGACTTGGGAAGTGGGGACAAAGGCCTTTGCCCATGGCTGTTTGGAGGTGGTATACTCTTCCCCTCAACACACCCACACAGACACTCACACTTCTTTGTACCAGGTCCTCATTGTGAATGTCACAACAGTAACTAAAAATAATTTTGAAGTGTGTGTTAAGTAATCATACTGACAGCCTTTTGTTTTACTTCCTTATTCTTGCCCTATTCCAATTGTGCTAAAAGTACCAAAGTGTCTGATAAAAATTCAAAAGAAGCCTGACATGCAAGGGAGAAAAAAAAAATAAAAGGAAGGGGCTCAGATAATTTGCAAAATAGATAATGAGTCTTTACATGATTGAGTCAAATGTACTGCTTCTTAGTTGAGGTTTGAAATGTTAAGTCAATTGTTTTTTTTCTCTCTCTCAGTTAGAGAAATGCTGACCCTGAGTTTCACAAAGCTGTTAAATGTTTTTTTTTAGAAGTTGCAGGTGCAGACCTAAGAAATAGGTTTGCTGCGTGTGGGCTGATTGTGACCTTAACTTGTCAATGGGATAGGAAGACTCATGCCACTTCTACTATTCCCTTTTATTGACAAGAGGATGCCACTGTTGTCCAATCAAGAGAAACCACCATTCCCTAATTATGGTACAGATCTCAGTAAGATATTTGCAAGCACTCGTAAAGATGTTACCTAAATACAGTTTGTGTTGTCAGAGTTTTAACTTCTTTTATGCCCTGGACACCTTTGGTAGTCTTAGGAAGCCTATGGACCCCTTTTCAGAATAATATTCTGAAATGTCTAAAGCAAAACGCAAAGTACTACAAGGAACCAAATATATAAAAATATAATTATAAAAAAATTTGTGATATAGAAATAATGTGTTTTTTAAATACGTTAATTAACATAATCTAGCAGCAGCAAGTGTAGTGACATTTGAAGGTGATGATAAGTGTAAGTGATATTTTCGGATAGCTGCAACAACCCAAATGGGAGACGAGCGTACCTGGGATTTCTATGGGAAACAAATTCACAGATACTCCTAAATACTTCCGTGGTTTGTTGCCAATATTTGTATTTGAAGGAAATGTTAAATTTCAGTTAGAGATCAGTGCAAATGAAGATCAGCTTTCCCCCATCTAAGTGTACAGACTCCCTGAATTCTGTCTGCAGGTCCCCTGGAGTGTTTATGAGCCCTAAGTTAAGAACCCCTGGCATACATAAATCATTTTCATAGGTTTATGAGCATGGTTGAGATAAATTAAATTTCTTCAAATACACATTTGCGTATAATTCCAAATGCAGTAATGAACATTTATATTTTTAATTCTCAAGTGGAAATGTCATTCCTTCATTTGTTCATTCATATTCTTACTTAGAATCTGCATTGTTTGTGAAAGGATTTAAGGCAAGTTGCATAAATGCATACAACAAAATAGAATGAAATTGCAAGAAGGAACAGAAGAAAAGGTTATTGTGAAAAGTAAGAGGTGTCTTCGAGTGAAGTTAATACACAAAGTGTATGTGGGAAGGCACTAGATCTTTACTAGAGTACAATGACATATTGATTCTAAGTTTTATGATATGCAATGCAAAGGGTAAGAAACAGTTATAGATTCATGACCACATCTCCTGTAAAATCAAATGAGATGCCCAACTTTTTGTCTACTGAAACTAGAGAGAAATTTCTTCCATAGACCTTACCTCATAATGACTGTCTTGGTCAGCTCAAGCTGCTATAGCAACTTTATTGACTGGGTGTCTTAAACAACAGAAATTATTTCTCACAGTTTTGGATGTTGGAAGTCCCAGATCAGGGTGCTGAGATGGTCAGGTTCTGGTGAGACCTGTCTTTCCAGCTTGTATATGGCCATCCTCCTCCTGTGTCTTCACAGGGAGAGGGGAAAGTGCTCTCTCTCTCTCTCTCTCTCTCTCATCTCTAGCTCTTTAAGGGCACTAAAACCATCATGAGGTCTCCACCTGGTGGCCCAATTACCTCTGAGAGGCCTACTTCGAAATACCTTCATATTGGGGGGTTACAGCTTTAACCTATGAATTTGGGGAGAAACCTAATTCAGTCCATAGTAATGATACACTGTAATGAAATTAACGGTACGTTTAAAAGCTTCCTTTGTTTCATTGGGCTATCTCTTATAATTTCTCAGTGTAATCAATGACATATGTTTCTGCTGGCCCAGCTTAATATAGAAATGGGTTTAAAATTATGTAGTGTAATTTTAAAAATCTTTTTGGAGGTATAAAGTATTATTTTTTTTTTTAGTACCACCTCGTTGGAGGTACTTACTCTCGAAAAGTAAACTAGTGATTATTAATTTTTACATGTCATGGACCAATTTGAGACTCTGATGAAAGCTATATATGCAGACACACATTAAATTCTGCATATAATTTTAGGGAATCACAGATCTCTCGAAGTCTCAGCACTCTGAGTAGTAGATAACTCTGGGATATAGAGTAATGGATATGCCTTTAAACATACTATGTAAGTATTGCTTATTGTAACTGAGCGTTTGACATGGACCGAGAGCCAGCCAGTTGGATTTAATGCTCCTGGCAAGCATGGGAATACAGCTATTCTATGCTGGAAATTAAACAAATGCTTTACTAGCTTGGAGAACAGGAAATCTGCAGGCATATTTAACAACATACAATGCTAATATTTCAAGGTTGGAGGGGTGCCTGGATCATACAGTCTCAAATCTTGTGCTTGAAATTCTCATGCCCCTTGGAGAACATCACAAATCTCTGACTACCACTATTGCAAGGCCCCAGGAGATGACAACAACAATGTGGGCACAGCCCCTAGACCCACCCCCACCCCAACCTCCTCCACCATCACCCCATCCTTTGCCATAGTCCAGCTGAGACCAAGCTGTCATGTGAGGAATCGGATAGCCAGGGTGGATCCAGACTTTGTGGGGCCTGAATCTTATACAATTTGGAGAGACTTCTTAGGGAAAATAATACAAAATTACAAAGAGGGTGTTGTAAGAAACTCAATATTTAAAAGACATGACAGAAATGAGAATAAATTTCAAATTTTAAAAAACTGACAAAATACCAAAAGGAGCACATTATCCAGAAAAATAAGATAATTTTAAAATTAACTGCCTGACATATCTCTAAAATACATTCCCCTACATTTTTATCTGTGTGATTTTTGGTTGCCCCTTTACATGACAATGATTTTGTAAAGTCATTTTGTCTAGAGAACATAGAAAGATAATACAGTCTTTCATGTAGCATAAGTTGATCAGAATTGTTTTTTTGTTTTTATTGATTGTTTAGAAAAACTTCTTCTGGCTTCCCAGTTGATTACTGGTAATGTAAGTTTTTAGGATTTCTCTCTCATGTTTCTTTCAACTGTGAGCTTTACATTTGGAAGAATTCCCCATAAACTTGTTTCCGGTTCTGTGCATTAGAAGCCTTATTTTCCTCTACTGCCCATTGACACAGGGAGATACAGGACTTGTCCATATTGTAATATGACCTCTGGCCTGAGCCAGCATGTCACCATGCCAGGTGAATTGGCCAGGGGGAAGTAGAATGTTACTGGAAGTTACTACTATATTTGAACAGCTAGCAATAACTTAACTATACAAGGAAGAGAGTGTGAGCAACGTAAGTATATCCCATTAATTACAAAATGAGTACACCCATTTCTAGAGATGCCTGCTCTCAGAACTGGTAGGCCAGCTCACCCTCATGCGATTTTTTTTGCTTTCCTCTTTCCCAGCACACTCCAAGGACTGCCTCCATGAACCTGCAGCCACCTTCATAACATCTTCACGGAAAAGAACCTTCTGGTAGGATTCCCTAGAGTAGGGGCGCCTGGGTGGCTCAGTCAGCTAAACATCTGCCTTCGGCTCAGGTCATGATCTCAGGGTCCTGGATAGAGCCCCGAGCTGGGCTCCCTGCTCAACAGGGAGTCTGCTTCTTCCTCTCCCTCTGCCTCTATCCCCCCACCGCCCGCCACGTTGTGCTCTCTCTCTCTCAAATAAATAAATAAATAAATAAATAAAATCTTAAAAAAAAAAAGTTTCCTTAAAGTCTAAGCTCAAGAGAGCAAGGCCAAGATAGAATGAAGAGGGAAATTTTTCCTACCATGTCTCAGAGTCCAAATCTTTCCAAGTTCTTTGACACTGGGAATGTAGACTCTCTTCTGGAAAGACCCTGTTCCCAATTGCAGGAGTGTGATCTTACCATAGGTTCTAATAAGACAAATATCTCAGAACATATCAGCCTAAAATCAGCATGAGGAAAGGCCACTTGAAACAGTTTGGGATCCATTTCCATTCATAGATACAAGGGTATTTAAGGCCATAGACACATGGACCACAATATGACTACAGTCATTTTTATGTTGGAAAATTTAAACCTGATAGAACCATATGCTCGTTTCAACTATGAAACTCAGTACAGCACACATGGAATATTTTAAATGATTAATATAACTTTCTGGCAAATGCCCCAGGATAACTGGCTGCAAAATATATGCTTTGGAAAGTGGCTGAGTTAACTTATTTTATACATTTATTGATTACAAGCCAGTTAAATGTGGAGCTAAGTCTAACAAAGATATTCACTTTGGGTTTAGAATAGTTGGTTAACAGCTCTTCTTTTCAGGGTTCGAGTATCAAGGCAACTTCTCCATTAAGGCCACTTCTAGCTGGTAACAATATAAGCTATTATTTTTTAATATAAGAATTCTAATTTTATTACCTATGGAAGGGGAGTGTCTATTCATTTCATCTAAAAGCAGAGTAAATTGCTGAGGCACATGAAATGTCTGCTTCTTTAAAGCCGATGGGAAGCACGATGTTTACTTGTTTGAATTCCTTTGCTTTCTTTTGAGTTTGCGTCATTTTTGAGTTGAGTTAACTGGGCATATTCCGAACAAAGAAAAGTGTCCTCTTGACTTGAGATTCTATAATTGATTATATAATAACTCACGAAGTGTTTTGGAAGTTAAAGTTAAGATGCTGGTTTAAATTTAGCCTGAGTAATTATGGAGAAGTTTTCTACAACCCAATTCTAAAAAGACACTTGGGGGACAATTTGAGAAATCAAAGTGATGTGTATGTGAAATACCATTGTAATATATTTTTCTAATATGCCCTTACATTTTTTTAAGGAAATTATTTTATGGTTCTCTAAAATTGAGCCAGATGATCTTAAATCTTCTGTTTTCCTATTAACAGTGAATTTGAGTTAAACGATCTCTGCATCCTGCCATTTATGCAGCTCTTTCCCTAAAATAACAGAAGCATTAAACGAGGAAATATTTGAGATTGCCCCAATCATTGAGCCTTAAAAGTGTTACTGGTCCTGTTCTCAAAAGCACTTCTGTGCCTTATGTACTGGTTTTCAAACACTGAAAATGTACATGTGGACGTTCAGATTATTTGGCATCCTAGGACCTCCTGCTCAACAACTGAGATAAGAAAAGAATGCTCTTCAGAGCATTACAGTTCATTAGGGTGCTGTCCAAAATCTCGTACATGCCTGATAAAGTTAGCGGAATGTCAGGCCTGTGCTGTGATTAAAGGTTCTAAATGTGAGTTGTCACGCAGCTCAAATATTAGCTATAATCCACATCCATGCAGAGCTCTAAGATTAGGCCTTGTAGACACAAAGCTATATATATAGAATACTCCTGCTTACATTACAAATTTTCCAAACGAATGGAAGAAAATGGAGCAGGAAATACACATTAAGAGTAGGTATCTCTGGACTTTGAGTTGATGGGTGGTTTTTGTTTTACTAACTGCTCTATTGCATTTTTAAGTTTATAACAATGCAACTATGTATTTTTTTTTATATCAAAAGCTTTATTTCCAAGAAGTGGAATAGACGCTAAGTTATTGGCAGAGCCAACTTTGGAGTAAGGACATGGTGAACATGGGTCCTGAATAAAACCTGTCCCTTTCAGCAGGGGCCTCTCTGGCGGTCAAGGTCCCAACAATAACACAGGGTTGAAATTCCTCACTCCCAAGGCCTCCTTTCCTTCAGTTTCCTCGTCTTTCTTTTCTTTTTCTCAGTGCTTGCTTTCATCCGCATGAAATGCATACAGAGTTCACTGTATATCAAGGATCAAAACATGGAAAAGTCTGAGAGTCATGCATTTTCCTCCTTCACATAGCTAACAATTTTGGAATAATTTATAATTATTCAAATGATCCAAAATAATAGTATTTTGAGCCGCCTCAGGGTGAGAGTCTGCCAACATGATCTGCAGTGTTAGGTTGCAGCCAACCCACCGCTAACGTGCACCTAGGTGTCCAAGCGGGTCGCCTCCCTGCTGGCGGAGCCAGACAGCGGTGGGGGAGCGGCTGAACTGCTTCAGGAAGGACTCAGGCAGAAGCAGGTGCACCACAGGGGGTCCAGAGCACTGGGGAAGAGGGGCGAAACTTCTCTGCAGTTACAGCTTAGACAATACACACTTGACGGAAGTCCGGGCCCCCAAAAGGAGCTGGACTGGAGGGAGAGCCCTGGGAATGCTGGTTAAAGCCAAGATGAGCGAGGAAGCCTGGCAGCGTGGGAGGAAGCATTGCTCTGGGAATGGACCCTCCCTGTTCTTACTCCTTTCTTCTTCTAGAAGGGGTGTCTGTGGGTTTCTAAGGGAGAGAGCTCATCATGAGGTCAAAGGAAGAGTCCTCATCAAAGTAATGGTCAGAAACATGTGTGTGTTGCGGGGGCGGGGTAGCTAGCGGAGGCTAGGGGGCTCGCAGGCTGCCAATGTTGGCCACAGCAGCAGATTTCACGGCGGCGGTCTTCACCTGTAAAATGGGAATAAAGGCAGGACCCTCTTCATAGGGTTGCTGTGGAAACGAAATGATCAGTGCCTGTACACCATTTAGCACAGGCCTGCGCAAATCAAGTAATAATCAGAGCTCAATAAATGTTGGCTATTGTTATCTTCATCATTGTTTCTGTGATCCCTTCTCTCTACTTATCTTCTACTTATTTTCAAGTGGTTATATAATTTGATTTTATGTGATCCAATAAAATGAATTTTGGCTGTGTTTTTGTTTTTAAGCAGAGAAATTGCTTCTCGGGATGTATTTGAAAAGGGTTAGATTAAACCTTAAGTGAATTGAACTCGAGCAAAGTTTTAAAAATAATTGTGGCATCTCAAAGTTGAATTTTTACCAAATAAAAAAATTGAGCACTGATGTCATTTTTTGCTCTAGGAAGATCGTGAGAATAACTAATAGCACTTGGTGGAGGTTAATATAGTGTTGAAAGTAGTAATTTTAACAATTTTGAACTCATTTTCAAAGACATAATTGGAATAATTTTCAAAAGACATCAGTCTTTATTTTTTTGGGAAATTACAGTGATTAAATTAACTGCAGGCAGCCTCTCTTATTGTTATTTGATGATAATAGTCTGTTGATGAGGATTGGTGGAAAAAAAGGAATGATATGTGTTCTATTAAAGACTTCACAGCTGAAAAATTTTTCATCACTCGGGCCCAGACAATTTATATGCTCAAAGCAGAAGTATCAAATGCAGCTTCCTTTACTGTAGTTGTCTTGAAAACTAATCCAAATGAACAATGAGAATAATGCATTTCCTGGGATTAAAATATAGATTTTTCTTTTAAGGGGATAAATAATATGCCAGTTCAAAAGAAAATGATATGCTTGCAGAACTCTGTGAAAGTTGAAAAAGGAGTTTTGCTCTTTCGTTGAGTATTTTCAGGATTCTGTCTCTGCTTCCTTATGAAATTGAACACTGGACAAGGACAATAATATCACACCCATTATTTAGGCATTTGAAATTACTCTTTTACTTTGAAATGAGGTATTCAAATCACTGAGTGCTGGGAAATTGTGCACAGATGAAAATGTAAGTGGATTTTGATCTGTCATCTGAGCTTGAGGCTCTCGGGATGTGGCAAAGTGGTTTTTATCAGTGGAAAATATCACCCTATTTCTTTAAGATCTTTCCGAACTCAAAATGATTTAGATAGTATATCTGAGTGTGAATACCACCCAAACAAGCACCTGCAATTGTCCTTACCTGGACATGGGTGGTATTGCTTTTTGAATTCCAGTATTACTGTAAAAGTTGTCTGACTTTTATTCCCATCAGTATCCTTAACCCACAGCTTGGAAAATCTGTTTATGCTCTTTCTGGCTAGAATGTCTACTTAAGGATCTATGCTATTGGTTGTGAATCAAGTTACATACACTGATAGCCAAATGTTTCTTGATTTGACCCTAAACTAAACAATACTGGGAATGTGAAGCTCAAGGTTAAAAAGAAAATTAAAACGTTATTAATTTAATATGCTAAGAAATCCTTGTACAAATACTGATGGCTATGCTATGAAACAATGCTGTTTTCATGCTTTGGGAAGTAGAAGGAATTGACAAAAAGTCTTCTTCAAGGGAGAAAAGAAGAGCTGGTGAATTACTAGTTGCACCAAATGCAAAGACATAAACATGAACAAAAGCCAATTACTTGGCATTCAATACAGCTAACACTCATCCACTTTTATATTGTTTCTGCTTTGATTATTGTAATTTCAAATCATTACAGTTGGAAAATGTTTTGATAAAGCATAATATTATATTACCTTGTAATTTAACATACAGCTAGAACTGTAAGGCACAAAGTTTGGACAATGGAGAGGTGCAAGTTGTAGAAGAGAAAAAATATCTAGATTCATTTGACATGAAAACACAGGGCTTCTTCCTCAGTGTGATATTTATGGTATTTCTATGCTTAAATTTTGGCCACAGATATAGTCTTCCTGGTTCTATAAACTTGGAGAGATTTGCATCCAACAAGAAAA